TATCCGCCGTAAAACTCCTTCCTTTTTCTCTCCCTTCGAAGATGATGATGGCGAGAGGTTTGGTTTCTATGCTCTGTTTCATGAGCTTGGTGTACGGGCAATCGACTCCTGATCTGGCGTCCATGAACGCTCTGAGAAAATCCTTGACGCTACCGACAGGTTTCGGGTGGACCGAGACGGATCCTTGTCTCTGGAAGGGTTGTCAATGCGACACAAGCAAACGGATTACCCGGATCCAACTCGGTGACACTAGTATCTCTGGAACGCTCCCTTCTGAGATAGGAAAGCTATCGTCTTTGACTGTTTTCGAGGTTATGAACAACCAATTAACAGGGAAGATCCCCAGTCTTTCTGGGTTGAGTTCGTTACAGAGGGTTAATCTTCATGACAATCGATTCACTTCCATCGACGCCGATTTCTTCACCGGTTTGAGTTCCCTTCAGAGTCTCGATCTTGACAACAATCCCTTTGGTCCATGGGAAATCCCTTTGAGCTTAAAGAATGCCACTTCCCTTGTAGAGTTTTCCGCCAACAACTGCACTCTTTCCGGGAAAGTCCCCCCCGATTTTCTCGGAGGCCTCACGTTCCCTAGTTTGACGACTCTGAAACTATCTGCTAATTTTCTCGTAGGTGAACTTCCGATGAGCCTTTCGGAATCACCTGTTCAAGTTCTCTTGCTCAACGGCCAAAAGGGAGTGGAGAAGCTCAATGGGTCAATTTCAGTTGTGCAGAAGATGACTGCTTTAACAGAGGTATCGCTACAGGGAAACGGGTTCTCCGGTCCCATACCGGACTTTTCCGGTCTTGTCTCGCTGAAAAGTTTCAATGTCAGGGAGAATCAGCTTACGGGTATCGTACCTTCCTCTTTAACCGAGTTGGAATCTCTTTCTGATGTGGCTTTGGGAAATAATTTGCTTCAAGGACCAACACCAATCTTCAAGGCTGATATGACTGGGCTCAATAGTTTCTGCTTAAATACTTCAGGTACTCCTTGTGATCCCCGCGTTAACACTCTGCTTTCAATCGTTGAAGCTTTTGGTTACCCGGTGAGATTTGCGCAGAGTTGGAAAGGAAATGATCCTTGTAATGGTAATGGCTGGGTAGGGATCACTTGTTCCGGACCTGATATTACAGTTATCAACTTCAAAAACATGGGACTCACTGGCACAATCTCGCCACGGTTTGTGGATTTTACATCTCTTCAGGTTATCAATCTCTCTCAGAATAATCTTACCGGTGCTATTCCACAAGAGCTCACTAAGTTGAGTAAATTGAAAACTTTAGATGTTTCGAACAATCACTTGTATGGTAAGGTACCAGATTTTAAGCCAAATGTTGTAGAGACGAGTGGGAACCCTGACATTGGAAAGGATGGCCTCGACCTGCTCCAGGTTCCCCTGGTTCGTCTTCCGGGAATAGTGGCAAGAAAGCATCTAGTAATGCTGGAAAAGTTGTGGGTTTTGTTATTGGTATTGTGTTGGGTTTGCTTCTCATCGGATTACTTGTTTTCTTTTTGGTCAAGAAAAAGATGCAATACCATAAGATGCACCCCCAGCAAGATTCTGGTGACCAAGATGCACTCAAGATTACTATAGAGAATTTGGGTGCTAGTGGAAGTGAAAGTGGACTTAGTGGTAACGACGCTCATTTGGTGGAAGCTGTGAATATCGCAATCTCGATACAGGTTTTGAGGGATGCGACAGATAATTTCAACGAGAAGAATATACTTGGGAGAGGCGGATTTGGAACTGTTTACAAGGGAGAATTGCATGATGGAACAAAGATTGCAGTCAAGAGAATGGAATCTTCAATTATAAGTGGAAAGGGTCTAGATGAATTTAAATCAGAGATTGCTGTTCTAACTAGAGTTCGTCACCGGAATCTAGTGGTTCTTCATGGATATTGCTTAGAAGGCAATGAGAGGCTTCTGGTTTATCAATACATGCCCCAGGGGACATTATGTAGGTATATTTTCCATTGGAAAGACCAACACTTAGAACCCTTAGAGTGGACTAGACGGTTGATTATTGCATTGGATGTGGCTAGAGGAGTAGAATATTTGCATTCTTTAGCGCATCAAAGTTTCATACACAGAGATCTCAAATCTTCTAATATTCTTCTTGGAGACGATATGCATGCCAAAGTTGCTGACTTTGGATTAGTCCGGCTTGCGCCAGAAGGCGCACAATCGATTGAGACAAAAATTGCTGGAACTTTTGGTTATCTTGCACCAGAATATGCTGGTATGGTATTATGCTTATGTCTGTTGCTACTTTTTACTTAACTCACCCAAATGAAAATATTTAAATCGCTATATATCATTGCAGTGACCGGAAGAGTTACAACAAAGGTTGATGTTTACAGCTTTGGAGTCATCCTTATGGAGCTATTAACGGGTCGAAAAGCTCTTGACGGTACGAAATCTGAGGAAGAAGTACACCTTGCCACATGGTTCAGGAGAATGTTCATCGAGAAAGACTCATTCTCAAAGGCCATCGACAAGACCATTACGATCACCGAAGAGACACTTGGTAGCATCAACACAGTGGCTGAGCTTGCTAGCCATTGCTGCGCCAGGGAACCACAACAAAGACCAGACATGAGTCACGTAGTCAATGTGTTGGTCTCACTTGTTGAACAGTGGAAACCCGCTGAACGAAGCCGAGACTTAGAAGATATAAATGGATTCGATTACAAGTCATTTTTTTCTCAAATGGGGTTAGGGGGAAGTACTAGCAATGCAGGTAATACTCTGACGAGTTTTCCGTCCCAACCTCCGGAGTTTGAGAACACATTCAAATCAGGACAAGGGAGGTAAGTGTGTTAGAGAATTCGGTGGAATGAGAAATGTTTTGTTGTTGGATGACTACTTGTTCCAATGTCACGGATTGTGAATAGCTCTTGCTCGTTACCTTTTTTCTCAAGTTAGGGTTTCTTTTTGGCGTAGTGGAACCCATGTGCTTAAATGGACACGTGTTTTGGTCCCTTGTAGTAGATCAGCTAGCTGGATTGTGCACGTCCTAGATATTTTGATAATTTAGGTTTGGCATTGCCATTGACTCCAGCATTTAATTTTATGGATTGATGTATTATTGACATATATAACTATCATTTCGATTTATGGTTTTACCGAATTCGACAACTGGTTTCTTATACGATTTTATGACATTGTTTATGGTTTTTAGTATTTTACTGCAACTTCCAGACTTGTATTCCAAACAAAAGAACGTTTGATATATTTTCTAATCACCCTCATTTGGCTAGTTGAAGTCATGTCACACTTTATACTCACTAGAGCATTCTCATCGAAAGTATATCTTTAAGTTTCTCAACAATAAAGAAAAAGCTAAGAGAGATAAGGAGAATCGGTTCTCGTTGGAGAACCTTCGACAATTTAAAAAAAAACATATTTAACATATGGTGTAATATGATTAATGGTTATGTTTATTTTTTATAATTTTAAAATTAAAAAAAATAATTAAACTATTAATATAAGATTTATACGACATGGAAGTGCTCTTAGAAAACCTACGGCTACTCATTTTGGGAAAATAGTCGGATGTTAAAAATTCAGATCACTCCTAATTTTCAAAAAAAAAAATCGTATGATATGCAACGTAAAACTACACATTTATATTATAATGTTTTCATTTCATTTGGTGTTTTTTTGGTTTTTCATTTCTAAAGAATATTACAGTTATGGGTAGGCAAACGAAAATTAAGGACAAAAATTTACGGAAACAAGATAGAGACGGTAATTTGAGAACCAAAATAATTGTTCCATTTATGTTCCAATTAAATTTGGAACAACACGAG